AGTTTCTGTTGAGAAATCAGCTGACAGTAGTATGGGTACTCCCTTGTAGGTAACTGTTTTTCTCTTGCTGCTTTTAAGATTCTCTCTTTGTCTTTAACTGTTGGCATTTTAATTATGATGTGTCTTGGTGTGGTCTCTTTGGATTCCGCTTCCTGGACTTGTAAGTCTCTTTTTTTCACCAGGTAGGGGCAGTTTTCTGTCATTATTTCTTCAAATAGGTTTTCAATATCTTGCTCTCTTTCTTCTTCTGGCACCTTCATAATTCAGATGTTGGTACGCTTGAAGTTGTCCCAGAGGCTCCTTCCACTATCTTCATATTTTTGGATTCTTTTTTCTTTTCTGGTTGGGTGTTTTTTGCTTCTTTGTATACCAAATCTTTGACTTGATTCTTGGGATCCTCTAGTCTGCTGTTGTATCTCTGTATATTATTTATTTCACTCAGTGTATGTTTAATTTCTAAACTGGTCCTTTTCCATTTTTTTTTGGCATTCTTATTAAGATCCTTGAAAGTCTCACTAAGTTCCTCGGAGGTTTCTAGAAGATTCTTGAGTAACCTTATAACCGTGGTTTTGAACTCTATATCCAGTAGTTTGCTTTCCTCCATTTCTTTCATTTATGACATGTTTCTTTGTCTCCGCATTTTGGCTGCTTCCCTGTGTTGATAGAGTGGCTGGATGCTCTTAGTGCACCCCTTTGTGGGCTGTTTGCACAGTCTTGTTGTAGTTAACCCTTGATTGCTGTTGGTATCACTGGGAGGAATTGACCTCCAGGCCAATTGGCTGTGATGACCAACTGTGTCTACAATGGAAGATCTGTTGTGCAGGACACACCCTTATGGGGCACGACTTGCTTCAGTGGGGCTTTGGTGTTCACTGAGTCTGTCCCTTGAGTGTGTCACTTATGGATGTGAAGAGTTGTAATCCGGTATGGTCTCACTCTGACCACTGGGTACACTGGCTCTTGGATCTCCAAGGAGGTGCAAGGTCAGCCTCTGTCTGGGGCCGCCCAGCAGGAGCTAAAGAGAGATTTGCAGATTCCTCCTTTTTGTATGGGGTTTGGAAGTGCCCAGATGAGGCCCAGCAGTGACGCAAGGCAGGCTGCTGCTGCCGGGCCTTCTTTTGGAAGCTCTGGGGTTCTCTTACCCAGCTGCAGTTTGACAGGTTTTAAGTGAAGAAAGGACAGGCCATTCATATGCAAAAGCCGATACGCACAGCTTGGGTGGGGTTTTAAATTGGGTGGGGCAGGGTCTCTGGGAATCACCTGGGTGGAGCAAACAGTAATGGCTTGCCAGTCAGCCCTGCACTGGAGAGGTCCCCATGTCTCCGCATCCCGTACCCCCCATACAGGAACAATGATCGCTGCAAGCACTTCTGTGATAAAGCTGCCCTTGCGTTCCTGTCCTGATGCCAGACAGTCCAGTTTCTCCCCATATGTGTCTGGGTCCCCCAGAGACTTGTCCGGAACTGGATTTCAGAGCAAGCGGGAGCTTGTATCTTCCTCCCGATTAAAAGAGCAGCACATTCAGGTGCCAGCATTTTCTGCACCTCTGCACCTCTTACCAGTCTTAATGTGCTTTCTTCACCTCTCTAGTTGTGGAACTTCCACTCAGCCAGCTTTCCCGCGGTTCTGGGTGGTCGATATTCTGCCTTTTAGTTGTAAATTTTGATGTGGTTGTGAGAGGCAGCAAGTATAGGTGTTTACTTATGCCACCATCTTGGTTCTCCTCTACCAAGACCTTTTAGAAAATGTTTCCTTTGAGGATTAACAGCAGAGCTTTGAAACCCAAGTGCATGGGAAAGGGAGAGAGAGAATTGTTTCTGTCTTCAGGTCAGAACTGTTTTGTCCTTTCTTCCAGTATAAATAGGAAAGGAGAAGTCCTAACTGTGTAATCTAGAAGTTTTACAGGTCACCAATCAAAAGAGAAACATTTTAATACTCCTTGGATCAAGGAATATTGAGCAGTAGTCAGTGAATTAGATTAGAAGGTAACTACAGGATGAAACTAAAGAAGGGAATAATGATTTTTATATGGTTTTCTTGCTTTTAAGCTCTGACTAGATATAAGAGAGTAAATTAAGATCTCTTTCCTAAGCCAATTGAAGACAAGAATAGATTTGAGATTTTCCAAAGTCAGCAAAGTCAATTTCTTTTTAAATATAGCTCCTTTTGACTTTTCTAACCAGAATTTAATTCATTCAGTACCAGCAAAATGTTTTGTGGATTTTAGTCATCAATAAGCAGTCTATTTGTAAAACATGCAAATTTTTTTTGATAATGTAAATTGATTAATGTAATTTTATCTTACTCAATCCTGTTTTAACCTAAAAGCATGCATTTGTAAGATAATATAGTCTGTGGCTGTGGAATACAATGTGGCTCTAGTAAATATATATAGAAGATCAGATTTATAACTTACAGATAGAGGTGATTTTCCAGAGAACTAACTTTTAGGTTCTAATATTGAACAAATTTGTTTAAAATATCCGTGTCTGCGCCTTATGTGTAATTAATTATGTGAGTGGGCAAGAAAATACATGACACTTATTTGGTTCATTTCAAAGTAACCTTTAAATGAAATTATTATTTTTTTCTAAAGGAAATCAATATGGTTAGGTGCAAATTAGAGTTAAAGATGAAAAAAAATCACAAGTTAAAAATATCAAATGCCCCTTTGCACCATGTGAGGACATAACAATAAGTCTGTGGTCTGAAAGAGAGACCTCACCTGCCATGCTGGCACCCCGATCTTGAACTTGCAGCCTCTAGAAATATCTCTGAGGGAATAGCTAGGGCCTGAAATGTTATGGGTCAAGATTTTGTGAAACAAAAGGCACTCTGGACTCAAAAATGGATTCAGGAATTTAAAGTCACTCTGGCTATGATAGTTTCAGGTGTTCAATATAATGGAGTAGACATGAGCCAGCTCTTTTCCTCCCTGGCTGCTCGAAGATGGGCTGCCATCGTGAACGACATAACTATCCAGACCAGGAAGTTCCTGACCAACAAACTATTTCAGCGGAAACACATGGTCATTGATGTCCTTTGCCAAGGGAAGGCAATAGTACTTAACACAAAAGTTTGAAAAAAACTAGCCAAAATGTACAAGACCACAACAGATGCCATCTTTATATTTGGATTCAGAATCCATTTTGGTAGTGAGTGTAAGACAACTGGCTTTGGCATAATTTGATTCCCTGGATTATACAAAGAAAAATGAACCGAAACATAGACTTACAAGACATGGCCTGTTTGAAAAGAAGACCTCAAGAAAACATCAAAAGGAACATAAGAACAGAATGAAGAAAGTCAGGGGGACTGCAAAGGTCAATGCAGGTGCTGTAAAAAGGAGTAAAGATTCTTCAGTGACTTTATCTGTGGTGATTATACAGATTTTTCATGAGAGGATTAATAAACTTAAAATCAAATCAACTGCCAGTATAGTACTGATAAGAACCAATATGGCCACTATGTTTACTTTTGGTTTTTATATTTAAGAAATAATAAAATAAATGTTTAAAACTCAGGACAAAAACTAGATCATGTGGAGAAAAAGTTAAATGAGTTAGAAAAGTAGTTAATGAGATAAAAACTAGTTAAAACTAGTTTCTCTGTGTCCTTAGAAAGAATAATAAAAACAAAATAGATTTATATTGTCCTGAATAAAGTTTAGAAAGTCCCCTGGAAAAACCTCTTGATTATAAAGGTCAGCAAGACAACAATGAAAGCTGTTGCAATTTTACCTTAGTACCGATCAACTATGTTTTAAGTTGTCAACTACTTGGGGATTAAGAGAATGAAATATACAGTACATTTTCCTTTAAATCTACAAGCTCTCAGCTATTTAGCATCATCTGTGATAGCTATTGAAAAATCATTTCTAGCTCAGTCAGTGTGGCTCAGTGGTTGAGTGTTGATCCATGAACCACGAGGTCACGGTTCGATTTCCAGTCAGGGCACATGCCCGGATTACAGACTCAATTCCCAGTAAGAGGTGTGCAGGAGGCAGCTGATCAATGATTCTCTCTCATCATTGATGTTTCTATCCCTCTCCCTTCCTCTCTCTGAAATCAATAAAATCATTAAAAAAGAAAGATAATTTCTAATGAAGAACCTATCACTACCAAGCAAAACAATTAGAACACTAAATTAAAAAAAAAATAGAAACGCAGATCAAGGACTGGCAAATATGGCCTACAGGCCAATACTGGGTTGCTATCTTTTTTTTGGTCAATAAAGTTGTATGGGAACACAACCATGTCCATTTGTTTATGTATTGTCTATTGCTGATTTTGCCTTACGAAATACAGCAGAGTTGAATACATGTAACAAAAGACAGAAAAGACTCACAAAGCCTAAAACATTTACTATTCGAACCTTTACAGAAAGTTTGCCAATTCCTGACTGACATTAAGATGTTCTTTAAGACTATTAACATTACAGTTTCTGAACAGTAAGAAAACCATTTCTATATCTGAGGCATATCATTTATACCATTTGTGTAAAGTAGCATAAGATCCCATGTTGAGATGGAACTAAAAATCTAGGATAAAAATGGTATCATTTTTGTCAGGCAGAAATCTCAAACACAATTTTTAAAGTTGAAAATGGGCTTTAATAATGCTCATTTCATTAATGCTAGTCAATGAAAAATGGCCTTGAACAGATAAAAATCTGTCAAGAGTTACATTGGAAGATAAATATAGAAAATACTACAGGCCTGTTGCATGAAATTCATGTGCGGATAAGGTCCCAAGGCCTGGCCTGTGATTAGGGCCATCTTTCCCCGGCTGCCTGCAGTTGGCCCCACCCCCTGCCGCTGGGTGGTTCCCCATTTGCCATCAGGCAATGGGAGGCTGACAGCCAGGGAATGGGACTGAGAGGTGGTCAGTGCGCCTCATAGTGATTGGTTGAGCGGTCAGTCTGGTCGTTCCGCCATTAGGGTCAACTTGCATATTACCCTTTTATTATATAGGATAATTATTAAGAGAGTAGATACTTACGCTGTATGTGAATGAGCTGCTTTGGCATCTTAAATTCCCCAGGATATATAGACTCATAGTAAGCAATATTACTTTCTGCCTCTGGGACAGGTATAACCATATTATCCCTCTTCTCGCCATACACTTGCTGTGCTGAAATAGCCCGTTGAAGATGGTGTTCCTAAAAAGAGGGGGAAATAGGTAAGTTTATGTATTTTTTTAAAAAGCAAACAGAATGTATAGCATTATAAAGAGACTTTTGTTCATTTGTTTCTAAAATAGAGGGACTTTAGTAGTCTTGAAAGGATGTTGCTAACAATACAGTTAGTAGTACAAGTATTTTAGGTAGAAAGATTTTTTTCGACACATTGTACATTTGTTCAAATTAAAAAAAAGTATTCCATTGAAATTAACAGTTAAATTATACAAAATTCCAAAAGCTGACTAAAACTGTTATTTCAAGTTTGCATTTTACAGAGGAAATTCAAAACAAAAGGGTTAAAACATTAAACTTGTATGACCAGAGCAGGCTATGACTAAAAAATATTTTGATTCTAATCGCCTACTCACTTCCATAAAAATATGATATTTTCAAAGAAGGATAGTGAATACACTATTTTTACTTGATGAAATGGATACAGATTCAAACCTGGTCTTTTGTCTGGGATAATAACCTTCAAAAAACAAAAAACTAATTTTCAGACCCCTTTTGAACAATACTAAAGTGTAGGGATTGAAAGCACAGGCTCTGGAGTTTTATGTCTCTTGACAAGATACTTCAGTCTTCTAAATCTATTTCCTCCAGTAAGTGAGAAATAGAATCTACGTGATAGGCTTGGTTAGAGATTTAAATAAGGCAAGTGTATATAAAATGGTTAATATGATGTGTGTCATAACAGTTGCTCAAAATAAGCTTTGATTTAGTCACCATGAAGGATGATTTTGCCAGTTTGTGATACTACCAACTGCCATCAAAATACCAAGTTCTCATATAGCCTTATAATCACTGAATTTTGGTAAACATTTTATTAAATTTTAACTGTTTTCTTAAATATATAAAATAAAAGTTCAAGGATGAAAAACATTCTAACAGTATGAAAACAAAAAATCCAGTCCTCATAAGTAGCCTCTGTTAAAGATAGATAGATAGATCCTATCTAATAATAGACAAAGATGGTAACTGACCGTACCTTTGCTACGCCCCCCATGGGCTAATCAGCGTGATATGCAAATTAGCCGCCAACAAAGATGGCGGCTAATTTGCATACTGCAGGCAGGGTGGGACAGCAAGAGCCGACATTCGGGCCCTGTGTGCCGCCTAAGCCCCGCCCCCAGCTGGGTCCCCCATGTGCCGCCTAAGCCCTGCGCCACCTAAGCCCTGCCCCCAGCCGGGACCCCATGGCAATCTGAGAGCAGGAAAGTGCTTCCCCCTGGGTCGCCGTTGCGATCCAGCGATTGGTGAGCAGGAAAGTTCAGCCTGCAGGCAGCACCCAAGAGGGCCTGCTCCTGGGTCGCCATGGTGATCCCAGAGCAGGAAAGTGCAGAGGGCAGGCAGCCCCCAGGTGGGCCTGCTCCTGGGTCACCATGGCGATCCCAGAACAGGAAAGTGCGGCTTTAGGCAGCACCCAGGAGGGCCTGCCCCCGGGCCTCCGCAGCAATCCAGTGATACGTGAGCAGGAAAGCGCGGCCTGCAGGCAGCACCCCACCCTGGCCACAGCTCAAGGGAAAGTACAACACACAGTGGAGGCCAGGAGCCTGAGAGATCAACACAGAGGGGCGCCTGCTCCAAGCCTCCATGGTGTGGCTGGGGGCGGCCCCCAGCAGACACATACACACTCTCACACACACACACACACACACACACCGCGCCTGCTCCGAGCTCCGAGCCTCTGCTGCCAGACTGTGGCCGTCAGTAGGACATCCACTGAGGGTTCCCAGACTGTGAGAGGGGCAGACTGGGCTGAGGGAACCCCCACCCCCCAGTGCACGAATTTCGTGCACCGGGCCGCTAGTATACTAATAAAAGGGTAATATGCTAATTAGACCAGATAGACCGGATGTCTCCTGAACGTCTTTCCGGACAAAGCCGTAGCGGCTGCAAGGGCCGAGGGCAGGTGGCCATGGTGGCCGGCAGCATCAGCAGTGGTGGGGTGCTGGGGGAGGCGCCTTTCCCAGATGGGCGCAGTCGCCTCCCGCAGAGGGAGGCCAGACTTCGGCTTAGGCCTGCTCCCTGCGGGCCTCCTCTAAAGGCTCCCGGACTGTGAAAGGGGGCAGGCTAGGCTGAGGGGACCCCCCACTCGCCAGTACATGAATTTTCATGCACTGGGCCTCTAGTGTGTGTGTGTGTGTGTGTGTGTGTTTACTTACAGATAGTATTCTATGCAACATACAGAGCTTTATCCCTTGGTTTACTTGATATTCTGGAGATCTTTCCATACTAACACTTCTACAGATTTCACAACAGCTGCACTGTATTCCACTATATAGAGATACCATAATTTACTTAACTAGACACTGATAAGAAAAAAAACAAAAGGGTTAAACATTAAACTTGTATGAACAACCTAAATGCCAATCCTTCTCCACGAATGCTGCAAAAACCACTCCTGCACTATTATATACAAGACATTGTTGTGAACTTGTTAAAGTGTATATAGGACAACTTACAAATGGAAGTGCTCAAAGGGTATATGAGGTTACAACAACATATATTCCCATCATTCCTTGTAGTAACTTAACATCCCTTTTGAATTTTAAAATCACCTATCTTGCCTTGGCCAGTTTGAATCAGTGGTTAGTTTGCATTTTGAATAGAATGCTCAAACTTAGAATGCTAAATCTATGTTTATATTTGAATTTTTTTTTGTATGAGGAGAGAAAGGGAGCTTAAATATCATATATAAAATCACTTTCCTTAATGATTAAAAATGTTCCTTTATCATAGAATAAAGAGTTTGGTAGTAAAAAAAAAAAAGTAGAGAATGCTAGATTCTAAATTTAGATTTTTCTACTTTAAAATTGAGAGATTTTAACATGCTAATGTAAATTGTGATTCTTCATATAGCCATTCCAAACCTATGACCACAGAATCATTTCTTTCAGAAAATATCTATTAATAGTTCATGGAGAACTTTTAATATATATTTTGGGAAATGCTGGTATAGAACAAAAATGAGAGATAAAAGAGCAGGACATCTTGTTCATTAAGTAACTTAAAATGTATTTATGGAGTGCCTGGCACTAGGAACAATGGTAAATAAAATAGATACTGTTCTTGACATTGCGGAGTTTACACTCTAGTAGGGGAGAGAGATACCAATAAAAGAGTCCTTAAAAATAAATTGTAAAGTTGATAAGTGCTATAAAGGAAAAGTACAATGTGTTAAAGGAAATATAAATAGGAAAAGGATTTCAAGGACAGTATCACTTTCACTAGTGCAAAGTGACATTTAAGCTAGGATCTGCAGGAATGGGAGCTAGTTAAAAGATTGTTTTAAGTTCAAGAGAGAAAGCTATGTTGAAAAACACTTAGTGAAGAACACTAGCTTGACACCTTAGGTAGGTAGTTTCTTTATATTATAGAATGCTTATAACAATTAGGTTCCGTGGCATTTTACAAATTAAACACCCCAGAACGAAGAACAATTCTAATTTTTCATAAAATAACAGAGGCATAAACTCTCGATTAAGTCTGATCTTAAGGAACAAAGTAAATAAATTAAACAATCTAAAGAAGTTTTTAGCCGTAACCAGTTTGGCTCAGTGGATAGAGCGTCGGCCTGCGGACTAAAAGGTCCCAGGTTCGATTCTGGTCAAGGTTGCGGGCACATCCCCAAGTGGGGGGTGTGCAGGAGGCAGCTAATCAATGTTTCCCTCTCATTGATGTTTCTAACTCTCTATCTCTCTCCCTTCCTCTCTGTAAAAAATCAATAAAAATATATTTTAAAAAAAGGATTTTTTAATATTCAAGCTTATATAAAATCAAATCAGATGAACCATCTACACTAATAAAAGAGAAACATGGTAATTAGCGTACGACCGCTACCCTTTTCATTGGCTAATCAGTGAGTATATGCAAATTAACTGACAACCAAGATGGCGGCCGGCAGCCATGCACTGAAGCGAAGCCACAGACTGAGGCTTTATGCCTGGGTAAGGGAGGAGCCAGCCAGCGATCGTTGAGCCAGCGATGGTTGATGGCAGTGATGGCGGGGGGAACCGGGGTGGAGCCAGCCAGCGATCATAAATGGCGGTGGTGGAGGGGAGCTGGGGGTGCCCTGGCCCAGGCCTAAAGCCTTGGCCAGAGGCTTTAGGCTTAGGTCGGGGAGGAGTCAGCCAGCGATTGTTGATGGCAGCGGAGGTGGGGAACCAGGGCGGAGCCAGCCAGCGATCAGCTGAGG